TTTTTTGTTTTTTTTTTACCCAGTTACGGAGTTTACTGCGCAACTTATTTCTAGGTAATATAGATTCGTTGTATTTGGTAAGTTTAGTTTATATTGCTGCAATCCATAAACAACCTGCACACCACGATGATAACAGATGGTGGAGTTGAGGACTGGGAGAACCTCAAACAATTTTATCATCTCAGAATTAAAAAAAAGAAAAAAATATCAGCAACAGAGCTTGCTGATTTGTGAAATTCGGAGAATAGTGAGGTAAAAGGACGTCCCCAAGGTGGCGCATACCTCACAATTAATTAATTAGATATTTGTTTTGGATGTTGAAGTGTTTCTAATGAAGATTTGCTCGTTCTTGCCGCAGGCGTCGCCGGATATACGCCGCAGCTTATGCCACTGCCGGTGTTAGTAATACTGTTTTCGCGTTGTCACGATGTTCCATCGCGCTACAGACTCGTGTATTTTACTGGCGTACAGTCTCAAGAGTGCTGTTTCGAATGTCAGGGCACATGTCATATCAGTATAGACTAAGCAGCGACGTAGAAATCGCGCCGCGGGAGCCGACTGCTTGAGTTCCATAACTATTTTGCATGCAATCTTTTCATATTTACAGAAGCGTATTTTCGAAATACCTTATAATTACTAAAGTGCTCTTTACACCCCAATGTACATTAAGCCTTTCTTAAACGTATTTTCGAAACACGTCTTTTAATTACATTTGAGCGTAAATATTTTATATTATCGAGAATGCATTTAATTTGAATTTTTAAAATAGTAGGATTAAATATTTGTATTTTAACATATTTCGCGTCTACTTAAATTATAACTTTAGACACAATATTTTCAACGTATTTTAGAAATGTATTTTTAATACAGGCCATTACGTTTGGTTTATACTGTTTTACTACACCTTTAGTGTATTTCGACGTACAATACACACGTTAAACACATTCTAAAGACATTGGACATATTTAAAACATATTAGATTTTGCTAAGGGTAGAAGGTATACATTTTATAGACCGCTTGTCGCAACGCATTGCATACGTTTTAAAAGTGTATTTTTGTAAAGTTTCCATAGATTAGACTTGACTAAATAATTAAATGCAGTGCGAAGAAGCGGCTTCACAAATCCGTGCGGTGGTTGCTATTTTCGACTGTCAGATAATTATCGCTTGCAATGCTTTTCAGTTGGAGATGCATTGCACCAACTCTTAGAAACCATATAAACTATTGACGAGAAAGAACCATCATAGCTGTAATTGTTTAGTTTATTAGGATGGTGGCCCTTAGGAAAAACTAAGACGTTTGAAATATACCACATTCTAATTTGCGTGTATTTCAAATACAGTTCATATTGCAAGTACACACAATATATACCGAATCTATACATTTTTTTACGTAGTACTAAAATATATCTCTGAAAATCTTTTTAAAATATCTTTATATAAACTACATATGAAGTGCTCTTCATGCATTCTGAACTATGTAAACACTAATTCGTAGGCACAAAATACCTTTCGCGCAGATTTCTTAATACATTAATTTATTTCATGCAAAATATACTCCAACCCTAATAAAAATGCAGCGATCATAAATATGTGCAGAATACTCCCAAAATACCTGGAAATCGGAAATACTGTTGTGTTATATTCTAAGTAACTTTTGACTGCAATACTTTGGTAGTTTAACTTAAACTACCAAAGTATTGAAAAGCTTGCCTATCAGAATTTCACTTTAAGCAGATGTGGAGTACATTGAAGGGGATAAAAACTATATTTGATTAGTTTGTCAATCGAGTTGTGCCGCATCGCACTAATAAATCAGCCCAGTTTATGTTATTGTTTTATTTTTTATATCAAGAACACACCTCATGAGTTCCTTGCACACCAATCAAAAACGGGGTTCAAGAAATACAACCACAACACTTGCTGATGCTGTAAAGCTTCAGCAAGTACTGTGAGCAGGTATGTTTGGTGTGGTTATGTTAGCACAATGTTAGTTAACTCAATCTGTATACTCACCATTGTACATGATGTGAGTTAATGATCACAATAAATAGTCAACTGATAAAGAAAAGCAAAATAAACTGCCTTGACTCGCTTAGTCCTGAGTGGTGCTATGCAAAGAAGCAACAACATTTCTTCTAGGAGCCGTTTTGGGGGATATAGTTTTAGCGACTGCGCCGATTTATTATTACTTGTGCCAATGTTTTTTAGTAAGAGATATTGTCCACGAACTTCAAAACACTGTTTTCCCTTTGACAGACTCCCGAGAAGAAGATCGAATACTGGGAGCCAAAAGATTACCTTAAATATGTAGGCTATATAAGCCTCTGGAACAGTCAACGGGACTGTGATTCAGGTGTTCAGTGCGTTATGGTGGTTCTGTTTGTGTTCGTTTCTAATGAGCAGTTGTGGGATGTATGTAGTAGTAGCTTCAAATACCACAGGGACACCATTTATTAACAAAATCCCCCATAAAAATTTTGTGTGGCCGGTTTTTAATACACAAATGGCATCTTGAGGTGAAGGGAATTATGTCTTTGGTATATTCTAAAATGTTTTCTGAATAATATTTATGTTATAATTTGAATACCTTACGCGCAAATTTCGAATGTGGACAAAGTAATACGGAATGAATACAAAATTAATATGCATATTCGATATATTTCAACTATGTTTCAAGTGCAGCCTCTTTTTGCTAAGGGTGGTCCTAGTTCAAATGATTGCCTTTCAAGTGTAAGGGGTAGATGGCGGCGGAGCAGTCAACACTTGTGAATCACCAGTATAATTAGTGCTTCGTGGCGTGTGTATTTGAGATATGACGGAACGTGTAGAAGCGAAGTGGTAAGTGCATGTTTCCCTGGATGTTTTGTGACAAAGGTAGAATTTATGTTCAAAATTATTGTTTTTCGCCAAATGGACAATTGTTTACAGAAAGGAGAGCGAACGTTTACAATATCTACTTATTTTCTGTATAATATATACACACTTTTTTTCTAACTATTCACTAGGTTCTATAAAAGGACTACGGAAAACAATCGACCCCAAAATATAGACAGTGGGTACAAGAGTCAATACATTTCCTAAAGAATATTTATAGGCTCAATCCACTTATAGAGGCATTAGAAAGGGGATATTTTTGTAAAACAAATGATTCCTGCTCTCGGTGCTTTGCAAAGCAGTATACACAGGAGCTTTTGAGACGGAGAAGAGGGTACTCTGGAGGCTGTGACAGCGGGTACGTGAACGGTGTGTCTTTGTAGAATGGTAGATGGTAACGACCGTAATGCCACATTATACGTATATCGTTTATGGCGTTTCGCTAGTTAGGGTCCGTCATTCACCCACCACTGTTTCGTACTTATTGTACCTGAACTTAGGTAAATGTCTCATCTAAATTTGTTTACCGGATTATTTGCTCTTGATTTCATAGCTTCGTAATGCACTCGATCACCACGATCACGCTAGAAGCACAGTAGTAGAGGTGGTTGAGACAGAAGCCTGCTCTTCTGCAATTCGTTCTGAAACCGGCCAGCCGAAGGAAAGGTCAGGAGCAACGCGTTGTGACGCTGCGACGACAGGAACATCTGTTTTGCCTGTGGTCTTCGGGGGGGGGGGGGGGGGGGGGGGGGGGGGCTACTTCTAGAACAGCACATCACGATCGTGACAATCCGCAGCAACAGCAGGTGTCTTGTATTGCGTATTTCGTTGCCAGTTAAGAGGCACTTAAGTGTATTAGCAATTCCGAATAAAGAGACCTCACGAGTTGGAAGAAACGTAAAGGAGATAAGCGGAGAGCTAACTCTTCCCCAGGTGCGGGGTGAAATCTGACAAGCCTGGAGACTGAAAGGTCTTCTACAGACCACGTATCTTAGCTACGACGATATCCCTGTGGCCTGTTTAAGAGAAGTACATTGTTCCATCGCACGAACATATTGCGCAGCACATCAGGGTCGCCCAACGAGCCCGTTCATTACGATATGCGCTCTATGCATGTTCTCATTTCTAGAAACACCCCGAACATTAAAGAGGTAAGATAACCGTTTGTAAATTAGTTGTTTGCAAGTTTTGATCAAACTGTACCACTTATAATGTAGGTCGTCTTACAGAAGCCACTGAAATGCCTGCTGTGGTCCGTCCAATACTTTATATTGTTTTATTGCAACACACTAAGAATTACCCTTTTCTACGCAAGCGTGGTTGCCGTCTACTGTGAGTTTAAATACTTAGCGCCGAAACGCAGCTGTGTAAAGACTTTCGAAGAACTGAGCCCGGATAAAATAGGCAACATCTCTGACCGGCTGTAAACACTGCTAAGAACTTGACTCAATAAATGCGCACAAAAAGCATGGGTCCAAGGTATGAAACTTCAAGGCACTGAATTGTACTGAGACGACGTTCAGTTCACTAGTGCGTAAGGGCGAAGAGAATCCACGCTGCTTAGAGACAAAGGCATCGACATTGGAAAGAGTCCAAGTAGAAGCATTATTGGAGACCACCTTCTCGCTTCATGTTCCAAGCACATCGCGAGAATGCTTTTAAAATGCCTCGCTACTGCCGTGACACAAATTATCAAATGCAGCTGCGCTAGATTGTCAGCACATTTTTCTCTTCCACTTAATGTCGCCACGGCGGTCATTCGCTGATCGGTGCCACGTAATCTTTGCTTACTTGATGACTGCTCGTGGATGCTGTGATTCTGTTGTTCAGTTCATAACGAACACTTATAGAGGCGCTAAATAGGCTACGCTTCGGGCACATATACTCTATGCCTCTATATATATGTCGCGCAGGCACCGCCGTTTTGTTGCCTAGCGCAGAGTGAGCGCAAATGGTGATAGTTAAAACTCGATAGTGCGACTTCCTGAGCTTTGAGATACGGCGTCGGCAAGTTCAGGCGATAGCGTCGTGTTCCTCGCGGACTGTTTTTCACATTTCCGCTGGACAGAGAGGCGTTTCCTGCGACTTCAGATAAAGTGTCACGTAAGTCGCGACAGCGATTCTAAGCAACAAGATGGCGGGAGCGTTGTTACCCCGAAGCGAAACTTACATTCAGTGACTTTAAGTGCACGTGCGAGCAGCTTGTTGGCTGACGTGTTGCTAAAATGCTACGTTTTGCAAAGTTCTAGTTGTAGATAGGCGGACAAAAGAGTGAGGCGATGCCATTTTGCGCCGTCGGAGGTTGTTTCACAAAGGAGGGGGACGGAAAACGCCTCCTGCGCTTTCCGCTGGCCGAGAAAGACAGAGAACGACTACGCGCTTGGTTGGAACTCGTCGACCGCGAAAACTTTCAAACCACGCCACACTCCAGAATATGTGAGGTAAGTTCTCTTCAAGCCCTTCTGCAAGGTACAGTAAAGAAAACTGCCGCATTGAAAACGTTCTGAAACACTGAGCTCCCGCAATGACAGGCAGTGGAAAGTTCAAGTGGCTAAGTGCTGTTCGCTTGGTGACTCTATAGTTCCGTTCAGAGTAGGCTCGTACGAATACGAAACGCTGCACTCACCACTGCAGTACTGCCAAGCTTTTAGAGTCTAGCATTCGCAATTTAAACAACCGTACAACTATTTTCTGAATCGTTTATTTGATAACTTTTGATAGGGGCGTGCTTTCACTGGATGGGCGCATGTTTGACGGGTCACACTCGCTTGCGTCAACTTGTACTACACTTTATTGAACCGGTAGTCTGGAAAATAGTTCAATGTGACGGTGACTTTCTCAAACCTTTGCTTTTTTGTGACTTGGATGTGGAGTGTTCTGATGTTAAATCACTCTTTAAGCTTGACTGTTTTGTGTTCGAACTCGATGTAGTTTGTTTCACATCATGTGCGAGCGAAGTCGATCGCTACGAGCTGGAATATGTTTCCCTGAACCATGCCTGCACTGCATGAGGACGTGTGCTTGGCAGAGACACTGAAAGCCCGGGCTTGCTCTTGTAGCTTCTGCGTATACGCTCGTGATTAAAGTGAAACGGTGTATACACGTGTCTATGCTCTAGAAACTGAGCTCGATTGAATCAAGCGCGTACGGCGTAAGAAAGAGGGGGATTCTAAATCTGAACATAAACTGCTATATCCTGGTAAATACTAAATGATAAGAAGTTTTTGTTATTTACGTCTTCTAAACTCTTTTTTTTTTTTATGAGGACCACTTTGAAGAAAGCCAGTTTGAGACAAGCAGGGCGGATGGACGCAGGCTCCTGAAGTGGAATGCGGTTCCTAGCATACCAGCGTCAGTCGACACACAAAAAAGACCAAGAAGCAAAGTCCGAAGGAAAGCAAGCCAGGATCAGCACAGTAGTAGGTTGATTGTTTAGCAACATGCAAAACAGTAATTTCAATAACAAAGACGAGATACAGTTCCCGCATTTCTAGCTACTACGATCATTGTACCAGCTACGGAAGGACAGAAGACAACCTTCCTTGCGGGAGTGCCTTTACAGTGTACTGTAGTTCTACCACCAGTAGCAAAAACGGAAATCCGAGGTCCAGCTAAAGCAACCGGTATGTTCTGGATAAAAAGAAAAATAATATGTCGCACCAGAAGCATCCACTATAGAAATTTAGCCGTTGTACCAAATCGATATCAATGGTCCCTAAGCTAAACGAAGCTTCGGAACACCATTTTCTTTGACCGCGCCGTCGCTCTCTGACGTGAGACGTTGCTTTTATGTTAGTTTCCTGATTCCCATTTTAGTGCGAATCAATGGCAGTGTCCTTAAGCTCCTCTGAAATTCACAAATAGTGTCTGCATTAAAATGGTAAGAGAAACGGCCCTCAGTTTTTCAGTATAAGCTAGCATGTTGCGAAACATAAAAACTTGCGTCTCCAAGATGTGATTTCTTTAATTCTACCAGACACAAGCCTTCTAACTACCACAGGAGGACGGAGGATAACTTCTCCTGAGCTCATGCCAGGGCAAGAGAATGCTGTGCAGCCGTCAAAAACAGAAATAGAAGCCTCAGCTCCAACTGAGAAAACAAAGACAAACATCCAAGCACAAAGCGAGAAACCTAGTAAGTGCCGGTTTCAATCTGAACAGATGGTGACCATAATAAGGTGGAAAAAATGCAGTTCTTAGAGCGCAGCTCTTACCGCTCATTCACACTGGAAGCGGATCCGCGTTCGTAAAGCGGTTGCGAATGCGGTTGTACAAAGATTCAGTACATTGCACGCGCACTTGATGTCATCGAGTGCGCTTGCAATTGTACTGGATCTTTATACAACCGCGTTCGCAACCGCTCTGTGAACGCGGATCCGCTTCCAGTGTGAATGAGCGGTAAGGCGCCTGTTTCCGGCTTACCAGCGTCGCCGTCGACCTAATCGCGCGTAACCCTCGTAACCCTCGTGAAAGTTACGACGGTTATTCTCACGGGGGTTGCTCGGGTTACTTTCATGAGGGTTACGAGGGTTACCCTCGTAACCCTCGTGAGAGTAACCCCCGTAACCCTCACGAGGGTTACGAGAGTTAGTTACCCTCAAAAGGGTTACCCTCACGAGGGTCACGGGGGTCACGGGGGTTACCCTCACGATGCCACGAGGGTTACCTTCACAAGGGTTACTAGGGTTACCCTTAGGGAAAACTAAGACGTTTGAAATATACTTTATTCTAATTTGAGCATATTTGAAGTACATTTCATAATTGTAAGTACGCAATAAATAGACCGAAAATATACACTTCTTTTTTTTTACTTAGTACTAAAATATATTTCTGAAAATCTTTTAAAAATACCTTTATTTCTACATTTGAAGTTCCCTTCATGCGTTCTGAAATATGTAAATACTAAATTAGTAGGCCCAAAATACCTTTCACATAGATTTTTTAAAAATATGTATATATTTCATGCAAAATATACTCCAACCCTAATAAAAATGCAACGATGAAAAATATGTGCAGAATACTCTTAAAATACATGGAAATCGTAAATACTGTTGCGTTATGCTCTAAGTATCTTTTGAGGGCAATACTTTGGTAGTCTGACGTAAACTACCAAAGTATTGAAAAGCTCGCCTATCAGAGGTTCACTTCAAGCAGATTTGGAGTACACTGAAGTGCCTAAACACAACTTTTGATTAGTTTGTCAATTGAGTTGTGCAGCATTGCACTGATAAATCAGCACAGTTTATGTTATTGTTTCCTTTTTTTCTATCAAGAACATACCTGATGAGTTTCTTGCGCACCAATCACAAACGGGATTCGGGAACTACAACCACAACACTTGCTGATACTGGAAAGCTTCAGCAAGTGCTGTGAGCAGATATGTTTGGCGTTTAATTTGTTAGCACAATGTTAGTTCTCCGAATGTGTATGTTCACCATCGTGCGTGATGTGAGCAGTGACTTTAATATAGCGACGTTAATGACCTTATTAAATAGTCAACTAGTAAAGAAAAGCAAAATAACTATTTTAAAGTGAAGAAACAAGCTTCGCGCGCTTCATCCTGGGTGGTGCTACGCAGAGAAGCAATAATTTGTTTTCTAGGAGCCGTTTTTTATGGATATTGTTTTAGCGACTGCGCCGAATTATTATTGGCTGTATTAATGCTTGTCGTAAGAGATATTGTCCACGAACTTCAAAATAATGTTTCCCCTTTGGCAGACTCCCGAGGAGAATATCGAATACTTGGAACATTAATAAGTGCTGGGCTGGTCACCGGCCAAATGATCACCTTCAATATGTAGGCTATATAAGACTCTAGAGCAGTCAACGGGACTGTCATTCAGGTGTTCAGTGCGTCATGGTGTTTCTGTTTGTGTTCGTTTCAGATGGTTACTTGTGGGATGATTTAGTAGTGCCTTCAAATAAAATGCCATTTGCGCCCTAAAAAGTGCACAAATGGCATTTTGAGGGGCAATGAATTATATTTCTGGTATAGCCAAAATTTTTTTCTGATTAATATTTATGATATATTTTGAATACCTTTCGCATGTATTTCGAATGGGGACAAAATAATACAGAATCAATACAATGAATATTCGTATTCAATATATTTCAAGTACGGCCTCTTTTTGCTAAGGGTACCCTCACGAGGGTCACGAGAGTTACCTTCACGAGGGTTACCCCCTGAGGTCACGTGAACCCCCTGAGGTCACGTGGCCCCCTGATGTCACGTGACCCTCCCCGAGGTCACGCGACCCCCCTCAGGTCACGTGACCCTCCCCGAGGTCACGCGACCCCCCCTGACGTCAGGTGACCCCCCTGAGGTCACGTGACCCTTCCCTGAGGTCACGTGACACCTCCTTGAGGTCACGCTACCTCCCCCTGAGGCCACGTGACCCCGCCTCCCGAGGTCTCACGACCTCAGGGAGTCGCCTATCCCTTAGTACCCTTCCATCCTCCTCTGCAGGAGCTGCGCTCTAATCCGGCGTTACAGGGAGTTGTAAACGGCTTTCATTTTTACCTCATTGCAATTAAAATCTGGAACGATAACTTTATAACAGGTGCATACCTTGCGGATATTGAAGAGATTCTGGTAGGCTCTTAGATTCTAGTAAAACAAAACAAAAATAAAACCCATCATTTGGTACAGTTAGTAATAAAACTATCTGGAAGAATGTCGACAGTGTATTATCGTTACCAGGTTATATGGGCTTGAGGCACGGGATGTACCGCCAAAGTTCCAGAGCCAAAGACGTGGAACTGCCTATGGCGGACGGTAAGAGACAATGCGGCTTTTTGATTTGGTGAGGCAACATAAGTCTCCAGTCATAGTGGTACGATGTCCTGTTGTGTTTCACTTTTATTATTAAATGATGTACTCAACATTTCCAAGAGAAATGCACCTGCAGGATGTACCTTTTTTGTTTTCAGAAGACAAAATGCAGTGGGGTTATTTCGAAACAAGCGAACATCTCAAGTATCTGGACACCAGCCGACCTCTTGAAATGGTATAAAGAAGTGTCATTATACTCGGCGACAACTTTTCTTGGCAGTGGAGTGGAAGGTACGTCCCGCGTCCCCTCTCCCATTTTGAGTGTACGCAGGCTCTCCTCCTCCCCCATTTCCGGGGAGAGGAGGACAGCCTGCGTACACTCAAAATGGGAGAGGGGACGCGGGACGTACCTTCCACTCCATTGCCAAGAAAAGTTGTCACCGAGTATAGTACTCCCGCAGAGGCGAAGGTTATTATGACATTGGTTTGGATTAACTTGGAACCTTTTCTGCGCGTCGAATTTGTCCAAGATTTTCACTTTAACAGTGCATCGTAAATAACTTTGTTAGAGCATATAGCACATATATAGTCAGAGCCTGGAGCAACTGCCCTAGATCAGAATGTGTTCGAAATCTGTTCTGTTTTATTTCTTCTATTAATATTTTTTTGCTCTTTTCAAATCAGTCAGAGTACATGTTTCCCGAAAATAAGCCGACTAATTCTAGGCGACACTGAAGTCTAGCATAGGCTGCTATATTTTCAATACCTACGTAGACGAGTTTCCTCGATGAAATATAAGATAAACAAAGTTTGAGATATTTATCTACCAAATTACTTGTGCAGTGGGGAATGTACACCTACATAGATATGAAGCGTGTAAATTTCAAGGGGCTATCAGGTGTAAAAGCGAAGCTCCCTTTATGTTGACGGACATGTTTCTATCCCCGATTTACGTTCTAAGGGCCGTGCATTGAGATTTCAATGCATAGCGGGAAAGAATACAAACACAAAGTATCTTAGTTAACTCTCGAAGTTTATGTAATGTCATCGTATTACTAGCGTAATATAATGTACTTATAAGGTGAAACAACGTATAAAGGTGCATTTTGTTGTTCGAGGCTGAACCGTATGAGTAGACAGAGAATAATTGAAAATGTTGAGCTGACGCTAAATACGCTGCTTGGTGTCTACTCAGGTGTACACTCTCAATTGCCATGACTATTTTAATTATTACACCCTGCTCAAATCATAGCCGCTTGTGTGTTCTACTCCGGATGTTTTTCTTGTGTCGAACACTTTCTTTTAGGAGCAACAGTGCAATGGGCAGCAGTGTGTGCACCAGGCTATTGTGACAGAATTGCAGAGCAAGTTGAATCTTCAACAGCAGAGGAAAAGAAAGCTAGAAAAGGAGTTGGAGGCTGTTCTTGGTAAGCATGTCAGAAGAAAAAATAAATAAAGCTTGTGGAAAGTTTGACTCGCATGAGCATTTAATTGATGGCAGTGTAATAAAACTGCATGCTTTTATTGTTCTGTAATACTTTTGACTTTTAGTTCTTAAAGGTACATACGAAACTGAATTGTCTATCAGAACCGATAGTTCATGTTGACACTAGTAAAAGTTGATGTAATATATACTATATTTAAAATATTATATAACTAATTTTTTCCAAAAATAACACAACATACTGAACATTGTGTAACTATATAACGCTAATATCTGTTGAATTTAATGTTATTCACTATAGATTGTGCTTGTGCACTTCATATCACAGCTTCCGCCAAAAGATGTTAGATTTGCGCTAATTCACCTGCTAAATTATTTCTTAATACATTTTTATTGCTTTGCAGGTAGCAGACACGAGAATCTTGCTCCTGAACAACAGCTCTCTACTATGAATCACGATGCACATGTCAACAGGTGGAGAGCCGACACCCTGCAAAAAGTTTTGCTGAGGTGTGAAAGTAGAAAGGACGGGCTCCCGAAGGACGAGGCTATACCTTTGATATCTGAACGGACACTGAAAAGACAAATACGGGAGATTCAAAGCGAGACAGGTGTGTACACCAGTGTCAGTTGTCTCGCGTTCTCGCTTTCTGCTACAGACCTCCCGATTGCTCTCTTTAAGGAATTCATGAGGAGCGTCTTCCGGCACTACAGTCAAAGCGGCAGACCACAAGCCCAGAAGAAAGACATCGCACACTTTTGGTTAACGAGATTCGGCTTAATGCCGGGTTGGATTTTGATACGACAGTCGAGAAGCCGGCAGGCCCGGTAACCATGAAGGCGACAAAAGTGCCCGGCTCGGCACGCAGTTTGCCAGATGCCTGTTTCGGGTACGTCGAGAACAAAAAACACGCAATCTGTTGATATTTTTGGGGGGAAGAAGTGAATAGATGAGTGAGTGCCTGTCGTCTACTGATTTCTCTTACTCTGAACTTCTCGCCAACGTCATGTCCAGCCGGGATCGTATCGTACCACTACCGTACTCATCGACAAATAAAACACTTCCTTGTAGCAAATAAAAATAACAGCAAAGGACAACTTAGCATTCACAGCTCCATAGCTAAAATACTCAGGCAGGATGGCGCATCTCAATAATTTTTAATTAACTTTTGCCCTAAACAAGTAATTAGTTACTAGCAACTACTCACTTGAAGAAATAATTGAACCAGTTGGATCGTTACTGCCCAAGTAGGTGAAACCTCAAAAAAACACAGCAAAAAGTAAATTACCAGCAATCAATCCGTTTAGACGGAAATTTCACGTACGTAAGGCTCAGAGCGCTACGTGCTACATTTTCTCGCCAAAAGTGTCATTATGTTATTCTGATGTACACACGAGGACAAACCAGGCTAGTTTGGTAAGTACAACAAAACATGGTTTGCAGTGCACATAGACACACTACACTGCTTTGGTGAGCACGTCAAGACACACTAGGCTGTTCTGGCGTCCCTACAAGGACACACTAGGCCCTTGTGTTCACACCCGAAAACATCAGACCGCACCTAACCAGGCTGAAAGATATTTTATTGGCCTGGTTCAAGGGCGTAAATATGAACACGACAAACCATAACTAACGCAATGCAAGGATATTCCGAAATTAGTTTGATATATGTTTGCTATTCTTTCTTTTATATCCTCTCTATACCCATGTTTTAAGTTTAGCGGCAAAAATTAAGCAAAAAGCGGATATCACTCCCATATACATTTGTAAAGATTTTGTCTTGACACTATCACTGCTTACTGTCACTTGTAACGTCCGCGCCAAAAATATATCTCTAAAGCAAGCAATAAACGTTTGTAGCGAGTTCAATGTTTTCACTAGAAAACAAAGTGGTTTTAGACAGTCTCCAATAAAATAGTTTCAATAAAACAAAGTTTGTTATTGCAAAATAATTTGCTATGCAATCATTTCTTTGCCGCGCATTTGTAAATCACGCTTCATAAAAAATAACTTTACTAGAAGGTTGCCCCAACGGATAGGGAAAGATAATCGAGCCATCAGCCCAATATGTTACCTGAATCAAAAGGTGAGCCCTTTCTCGGCAAATCTAATAAAAGTTCACTGTCCCTAGTCAGTAGCAGACGTCAGATCTCCACTTGGCGATGTGATTACTCGACAGCGACCGCTGCCGCTCACTGGCACAAAGCCCCTCATATCTACACGTGGGCCGAGATATCAGATTTAGCTTCGATAGGTTCAGCCTTTCGATATAAAAAGCTTTTATTTGACTTAGACTATTCCGAGCACCGCGCCTAACTCTTGATGTAGGGTTAAAAGATTTCGGCTGAAAGTTTCTCATTTTGGCTTTACAGTGTGCCTAACATCCGATGAAAATCCAGCATCCCGTGACGCGCTTATGACTTCGGCGGTGTGAAAACAACCAGTAACTTTAACTGGGAAGACCTGGTACCAGAGAGCAAAAAGCAAAGGATATCTGAACAAGACTACGCCAGTAGGCAAGAGCAGTGATGTCATTGGCCTAAGCCGCTTCGGCGCACGTTTCGGAGGAACCAAAACAGTGTTTTGGAGAAGCAAATGGGGCCCTTGGAGCAACCAAAACAGTGTTTTGGAGCAGCAAAAGCGGCTTCGGAGCGCCAAAAGTGGATTCTAGAACATATATTCTTAGGAAAATAAAAATATTCGTTTTAAATGCAAGTACACTTTGTGTTGTGCTGTGTTCTGATGCGACGTGTTGTGACGGAACTCGCTGCTCCTGATTTTACTGCTCAGACATCCCACAAGTGCACAGTGCTGTAGGCATTGCCAAGCAATTTCGAAAAACCCCTTGCCACCGTTTTACTGGTTCCCGACGTGCCAGATTTTCGTTAAAAGTAAGCAAACATAAAACAATGAATTGCAACCGTCCCAGCTGGTGCCTCAGTCACTCAGTCATGTTATCATTCACGCGAGGCGAACTTCGGCAGGCTTGGTGTGGGGCATGCTTCGTCGCGCGAGCGCAGACAACTGCTGTCCGATCGAAACCGAAACAATGCCCCTCAGCTTCGTCGCTAACTTATCCCCAAAATTATACACAAAATGTAACTTTCGAGCATGCGACAAAAACAGTCCAGTAGCGCGTGCCTGCCAGGCTGGCAAACAAAATACAAGCTAAGCACGCAAAAAATAAAGGACCTGAGTGCATCGATGCAAGACATTGCGAGCCAGCCTCAAAAAGTTCTTGGAGCGCTTTGTGCAATGACTGAACTCGAGACAAACAAGCACGCTGTGCGGGTTCAGCGTGCAGACATTGCCTTCTTTGCTTTAGCTCACTTCTCTTCACCAACTTTCTTTCACGGCAGATTTTTCACGTACCGAGGTCCCTCTCGAAAGAAGGCCCACCGAGAGGAATCTAGATAATCAATACTTTGACAGAGCAGTCTTTGAATAAAAAATGGATTTCTGTACTAACGTATGATTTAAACAAGAACAGGAATGTTGATTAACATGCGGCGGTACTTAGTTTTATTTTAGAAAGTACCATATCTGCAGTGATGTGGGGACGGCAACATTCGATGTCGCGCGACCACGGCGACTGAAACGCAGTGACCAAATATAGTTTTCCCACAGCCGTCGCTTCAGCTCACAAAGTAACTCCTGCCGTGCAAAAAACGTGGTTTCGTTTCACAGCATGACGGCATAGCTGGTACCCGGGACGCTAGCGTCGGAGCGTCTGCACACATCCGCGTCTATCGCTGAAAATATAAAAAAATAGACGAGAGACAAGACCCACAAGGGAGAGCGCGAAACTCGAGACGCCGGGAAAAGCATGCAAGACCGGGTGGACAATTGATGCACGGTACTTTGTGTCAGGTGACCGCTTGCGCCAGATAACACACGCCTGCTCAATTACAATACTCAGTTTAGTTTCTGTATCGTATCTTGCGCGTGCTGCATAAAGCGGACCGATAAGCGCGTGGAAAATAAAGAAGAAGAGGTTCTCGTGCCTTGCTTCCGTCATGTCTTATCGGCAATACTAGACAGAACATGGTGTCGGAAGTGCCCAGCCGAGCCACGCACTTCTTTGAAGAACGACAGACGCCGCCACAAGAGCCAGTAGAATCATGGATTTCGTGAAGCCGCCGGGTCCGCTCAGCATGACGGGGGAGATAAGCAAACACTGGCGGATATTCAAGCAAATGTTTGAACTCTTCCTGACCGCTTCGGAACCTAGTGGCAAGCCTCGACCTGAGTCATCAAAAGCAGCACTTCTCCTAAGCATTGCAGGCGAGGAAGTAATCGAGATATTTAATACGTTCAACTTCGCAGAAGACGAGAGCAACGCAGACTATGCTACTGTCGTCAAGAAATTTGAAGACTACTGCGCCGTACAAGAACGCTACGTGTTCCGGAACAAAGTACAAGCCCCGGGTGAGCCTTTTGAACACTTCTTGAGAGAGCTGAAGAAGCAGGCACGACTCTGCAACTTTGATGCGCAAATGGACTCCATGATAAGGGACCAAATTGTTTACGGAACCAATGACGACAAGGTTCAACAAAAGCTGCTCAGGGACAACAGTTTGACCTTACAGAAAGCCCAAGAAGTCTGCAAGGCGGCTGAAGTATCAGAAACACACAAAAAAGTCTTGGCCCGGGAGCAGAAGCAAGTGGATCCAGTCCACAAGAAAAGCGTGAGCCACGAAAAAAAAGGAGTTTAAGTTCTTCAACTGTGGCAAGTGCGGACAGACACACGCACCTCGAAGCTGCCCAGCATTCGGGCTGACCTGCAAAAAGTGTGAAAAGCAGAATTATTTCGCCAAGTGCTGCAGAACGTCCACTCAGGTCGGCGAGCTTCAAGACTGCGAAAACGACTTCGAGGTTCTGAACCTGTCGTCGAGAAACGCCATGAACCAGCGTGACTGGATAGTTCAAGCACGAGTAAAGAACTTCTCAGCCGAGCTGAAGGTCGACAAAGGAGCACAGGCTAACTTACTGGCCTTTGGAACATATTTCAAAATGCATCCAAATCCGCCACTGAAGCCCAGCAGTGCTGTATTGCGTTCCTATGGCGGGGGCGTGGTTAAGCATGGGGGTGTTATGCGAGCAGAAGTGGCACTGGACGACCGAACTGCTGTCCTCGACTTCTTTGTAGTACTCAAGTGTGTGGGGTTCCCTATATCCCTATCTAGGCCTAGCTTCAAGCAGGCCGTGGGAGTCGTCGTCACCAGTGGCGTCGGCCTCCCGGATACAACAAACCACGAGGCCGAATTCCCCGAAGGGGCCGGCTCTCTCTTGCCCATTTTGGGTGAACGCGCTTTCGGAACATCCTTGAGAGTTATAATGGACGCGACTGCTAGCGGCCTCCCCGGGCGCGTCCATTCTCTGAGGCTACATAAGCTGGCCGCGAAGAAGTGCCAGGGGCTCTGGTCGGCGGAGGCCCTGGCTCTACGGAGCACGGTTTTTCTTTGTGGGCCTCCGACTTTCCGTGAATCTGTCTAATGCGGCAGCGCGGGAAGCCAAGCGGGTGATACTGGCGATTGAGCCAGCGCCCAGACTTTTCCTGTCTAAGAGCGAAGCGTGTTGGCATTTCAGTCAATAAACACGTCTTTATCCGGACCCAAGGAATATTCTTTGTGTTTCTAAGTGGTGACCCCCAAAGGGGAATTCCCACAAGGGACACCAAGCCATCCTCGGGCTACAAGCCAGCGAGCACCTTGAACTGCTGTCTCGAGTACAAAGCGTGACGAGGATCAACTCCGAAGGAATCGTCGAAGATTTTCGCCATCTGTTCACTGGCACCGGCTGCGTTTAGCGAGTCTACCGAATGGTTCTGCGGGACGGAACCACACCAGTGGTCCAAATGGTGCGACGCGTACCGCTAGCCCTGCAGGAACCACTCCGCGAGGAACTGGAACGCATGGAGTGCGCAGGCGTCGTGTGAAGGCCACCGAGCCCACAGATCGGGTAACTCCACTTGTCATTGTTCGAAAGAAGGACGGAAAGATACGGGTAAGCATCGGCCCCAGGAAAATAAACGAATGCATAAAAAGGGAACATTACATCATGCCGCGGCGGGAAGATATAGGAGCCGAGCTGTCAGGAGCAAGAGTGTTCACGCGCCTTGATGCGAATTCATGATTCCATCAAATCCCTTTGGATGACCAGACATCCAGGATTTGCACCTTCGCAACGCCCTTTGACCGTTACCGCTACCTACGACTACCTTTCGGTATATAGTGTGCTTCCGAAGTTTTCCAAAAAAACTCTAAACGAAATTTTTGAAGCTCTTCCTGGCGTCCGAGTATACGTCGACGATATACTAGTGTGGGGCTCGTCAAGACGAGAGCACGACGAACGCCTAACCTCAGTGCTGCGAGCAGCCGAACGCGCCGGACTAACTTTCAACCCAAATAAATGCGCTATCGGCGTCGAAGAAATTGAGATTGTCGGAGGCGTTATCGACAAAAAAGGCATAAGGCCCTGCCCGTCCCTGATCAAATGCGTGACGGAGCTACCGGCGCCAGTGGACAAGTTTGCGGTTTGAAGATTGCTAGGCGTTGTCGATTAGTTCGGCTAGTTCCTACCCTCTTTACCTCAGAGGACAACACTCCTTAGAAGCTTGATCAAACAAGATTTTGTTTTTGAATGAACGGTCAATCATGCTGCAGAATGGAAACAGTTGTGTGAAAGTCTGGGCAAGCAGCCGCTGCTATCAATATTCGACTCGTCTAGACCAACAAGGGTTTCATGTAATGCGTCGCAAAATGGGATCGGTGCGGCGTTGATGCAGAGCCACGACGGCACGTGGAACCCGGTAGCGTATGCTTCGCGAACGCTCACAGACACGCAGCAGCGCTATTCGTAGACAGAAAAGGGAACGATGGCCGTTGTGTTTGGTGGTGAAAGATTTAAACACACTTTGTGTACGGCCGGAGG